TCCACAATCATCAGGTCAAAGGTCAGCTGGATCCATGGTCACCTGGGATAAGGGTTGGTGGATCTATGTTGCCTGGGGTCAAGGGTTAGCTGGATCCATGGTCATTAGGTCAAGGGTCAGCTAGATCCTGACTTGCTGACGGTTGATCAACTTTCAGGAGTCAAGAAGTTAGACACTTGGTGCAGAGTTTCCAACCTTTGACCTGCTCTTATAGCTGCAGTATTCATAGGGCTGGTTCTTCTCCGGCTCATGGTCAATGGAGCTGATGGTGGGTTTGAATTTGACATGCATTTTGTAAATATTATACCTGGAAAAATTTCCACATTGTCAGGTAATGCTGGTGTTGTACAGGAACAGCTTGGCTAGGGCTTTAAACTAAAACTGAATAGTTGGGGGGGCAGGGATGGGTTCAGTTGCATGAAAAGTTATGGAAAAAGTTAAAGGGCCTTGAAGCCTCTGCAAGGGTTATTCAAGTTTCCAGAACAAGTAATAGGACAGAAAGTATGGTAAGGGTCAGGAATCTAACTTAAGCCACAGCTCATAAGGGGACAGCTACGACCAGCGGTGTTCCAAAGGGATCGGTGCTGGGTCCTCTTTTGTTTGTCATTAATATAAATAATTTGGATGAGACTATAGAAGGCATGGTTAGTAAGTTTACAGATGACACCAAAATTGGTGGCATTGTGGACAGTGAAGAAGGTTTTCTAAGATTACAAAAGGATCTTGATCAAATGGGCAAATGGGCTGAAAAATGGCAGAATCGAGGTATTGTATTTTGGCACAACAAACAAGAGCAGGGCTCATACAATTATTGGTAGGGCCTTGGGTAGAACAGAGGAACCTAGGAGTGCAGGTACATAATTCTTTAAAGTTTGCGTCACATATAGACAGGATGGTTAATGGTTAAAAAGGCATATGGCATACTTGCCTTCATTGCTCAGTCCTTTGAGTATAGGAGTTGGGACGTTATGTTGAGGTTGTACAGGACGTTGGTGGGGCCTCTTCTGGAATACTGTGTACAGTTCTGGTTGCCCAGTTATAGGAAGGATATTATCAAGCTGGAGAGGGTTCAGAAGAGATTTACCAGGATGTTGCTGGGTATGGAAGGTTTGCATTAAAAGGAAAAGCTGGATAGGCTGGAACTTTTTTCATTGGAGTGTAGGAGGTTGAGAGGTGACCTGATAGAAGTTTATAAAATAATGAGAGGTATAGATAAAGTTGATGGTAGTTGTCTTTTCCTTAAGATGGGGAATTTCAAGACTAGGGGGCACATTTTTAAGGTAAGAGGAGGGAAATTTAAAAAAGACACAAGGCAAATTTCTGGTTTCTGTGCTGTATGACTCTAGAAGGGGGGCATTAATCATGAAGGACTTCAATATGTGGGTGAACTGGGAAAATCAAGTTGGTACTGGATCTCAAGAAAAGGAATTCATGGAATGTTGATGAAATGGTTTTTTGGTGCAGCTTGTGGTAGAGCCCACTAGAGAACAGGCAGTTCTGGATTTGGTGATGTATAATGAGGCAGATTTGATGATGGAACTTAAAGTGAAGGAACCCCTACGAGACACTGACCATAATATGATAGAATTCATGCTGCAGTTTGAGAGAGGGAAGCTTGAATTAGATGTAACGGTATTACAATTGAATAAGTTAACTCGAATGATATGAGGGAGGAGCTGGACAGAGTTGATTGGGATGGGAGTCTAGCAGGGAAGACAGTGGAACAGCAATGGTAGAAGTTTCTGGGGGTAATTCGGAACGCACAGCAGTAATACACCTCAAGGAAGAAGAGGTGTACTCACAGGAGGACAAGGCAACCGTGGCTGACAAAAGACGTCAGGGACTGATAAAAGCAAAAGAAAAAGCATACAATGTGGTGAAGATGAGCAGGACACCAAAGGATTGGGTAGCCTTTAAAAACCAGCAAAGGACAACTTAAAAAAAAAAGCAATAGGGGGAGAAGATGAAATATGATGGTAAGCTAGTTGGTAATATAAAAGAAGATTGCATGAGTTATTTGAGATATATAGAAGGTAAGAGAGAGGCAGGAGTGGACATTGAACCCCTGGAAAATGAGGCTGGAGAAGTAGTAATGGGGAACAAAGAAATGGCGTAGGCACTGAATAGGTACTTTGCATCAGTTTTCACAGCGGAAGACGCCAGTAGCATAGCAGAGCTTCAAGCAAGTTAGGGGGCAGAGGTGAGTATGGTGGCCATCAGTGAGGAGAAGGCGTTGGTGAAGCTGAAAGGTCTGAAGGTGGATAAATCACCCAGACCCGGTGGGTGATACTCAAGAGTTCTGAAGAAACTAGCTTTGTGGAGATTGTAGAGGCATTGATGATCTTTCAGGAATCACCAGTCAGGGAGGGTCCCAGACGACTGGGAAATGGTGAATGTAATATCCCTGTTTAAGAAGGGTGGGAGGCAGAAGACAGGAAACTATATGCCAGTTAGCCTGACCTTGGTCGTTGGTAAGATTTTAGAGTCCATTATTAAGGATGAGAATGTGGAGTACTTGGAAGTGCCTGATAAAATAGGGCTGAGTCAACACAGCTTCGTCAAGGAGAGGTCATGCCTGAGAAGTCTGTTAGAAATTTTTGAGGAGGTAATGAGCATGTTAGACAAAGGAAAGCCAGTGAACATGATCTGTTTGGAGTTCCAGAAGGTCTTTAACAAGGTGCCATGCAGGACACTGCTGAACAAGATAGGTGTCCATGGTGTTAAGGGTGAGACACTGGAATGGATAGAGGATTGGCTGACTGGCAGATGGCAGAGAGTGGGGATTAAGTGGTCTTTTTCAGGATGGCAGCCTGTGACTAATGGACACAGGAATCAGTGTTGAGATGAGACCTCCAGGTATTCACATGACAGATTAACAATCTGAATGACGGAACTGCGGTCATTGTTGCTAAATTTGCAGATGACAGCGGGCAAAGAAGTGGCAGATGGAATACAGTGTGAGTAAGTGTAAAGTTGTGCACTTTGTTAGGAAGAATAGAGGTGTAGATTATTTCTACTTGGGGAAAGGCTTCAGAAATCTGAAGCACAAAGGGACTTGGGAGTCCTAGTTCAGGATTCTCGTAAGGTTAACATGCAGGTTCAGTTGGCAGTTAGGAAAGCAAATGCAATGCTGGGATTCACTTCAAGATGGCTAGAATACAAGGGCAGGGATGTACTGCTGAGGCTGTATTAGGCTCTGGTCAGACTGCATTTGGAATATTGAGAGCAGTTTCAGGCCCTGTATGTAAGGAAGGATGTGCTGGTGTTGGAGGGGGCCCAGAGGAGATTTACAGTAATGATCCTGGGGTGAAGGGCTTGTTATATGAGGAGCGATTGAGAACTTCGGGTCTGTACTCCATGGAATTTAAAAGGATGAAGGTGGGATCTGATTGAAACTTACAGAATACTGAGAAGCCTGGTAGAGTGGACATGGAGAAGATGTTTCCACTAGCAGGAGAGACTAGGACCTGAGGACATAGCGTCAGATTGAAGGGACGACCCTTTGGAACTGAGATGAGGAAGAATTTCTTCAACCAGAGGATGGTGAATCTGTGGAACTCATTGCTGCAGAAGGCTATGGAGGCAAAATCATTGAATGTATTTAAGACAGAGAGAGATGAGTTCTTGGTTAGTAAGGGATAAAGGGTTACGGGGAAACGGCAAGAGAGTAGGGCTGAGAAACATATCAGCCATGATTGAATAATGGAGCACTCTCGATGGGCTGAATGGCCTAATTTTGTTCCTATATCTTGTATTCTAGGACTAGCCATAAAATATAATTCTTCAGTACTAATACTTGGACATTGTGAGGCCCCAGACCTTTTGTAATATCCAGTGCCTTCAGTTCTTTCTTCATATCACATGGAGTGAATGGCAGCTGTGATGCTGGAGACCTCTGGGGGAGGCCAAGATGGACCATCCACTCGGCACTTCAGGCTGCAGATTGACACGAATGTTTCAGCCTTGTCTTTTGCACTGATGTGCTGGGCTCTTCCATCATTGAGGATGGGGATATTTGTGGAGCCTCTTCCTCCAGTGAATTGTTTAATTGTCCACCACCATTCACGACTGGATATGGCAGGACTGCAGAGCTTAGATCTGATCCGTTGGTTGTGGGATCGCTTAGCTTTGCCTATTATGTGCTGTTTGATACCCAAGTAGTCCTATATTGTAGCTTCACCAGGTTTGCTGCCACATTTTTAGATATGCCTGGTGCTTCTCCTGGCAGGCCGCCTTATAAACTTCATTGAACCAAGATTGATTCCCTGGCTTGATGGTAATTATGGAATGATTAGCCATGTAGGTACAGATTGCGTTTGAATACAGTTCTGTCATTGGTGCCCCATGGTGCCACCTGAACACCCACTTCACTTTTGAATTGCTAAATCCGTTTGAAATCCATCCCATTTAACACTGTGGTGGTGCCACATAACAGGGTCAATGATAAATATCATTCTTGATGTGAAGATGGGATTTTGTCTTCACAAGGACTGTGTAGCGGTTAGTTTTATTGAAGCTGTCATGGTTTGATGACTCTGCGACATGCAGATTTGATGAGGACAAGCAGGTTTTTCCTCTTGTTGCCTCCCTCACCACCTGCCGCAGACTCAGTCTAGCGTCTCTGCTCTTTGGGACCTGGCTACCTTGGTCAATGGTGTTGCTGCCGAGCCACTATTGATGATGAGTATTGAAGCTTCTAAGCAGAGTCCTTTCTGTATCCTTGCCACCCTCAGTGCATCCTCCAAGTGGTATTCAGCATGGAGGAGAATTGATTTATCAGCCGAAGGAGTGGAGGTTTCCTGGCCCATGTTTGACCTCATACTGTGAGACTTCACGGATTCTGGAGTCAGCAGTGAGGATTTCCAGAGGGACTTGCTCCCAGATGTGTGCCTCTGCGCCACCACCTCTGTAGTGGTCAGTTCTGCTAGTGAGACAGGGCATACCCTTAAACAGCAATCCACTGTCACTTAACTAGTATCTGGGATAACTCTCTCTGTTTTGGTACAAGCCCTGAGATCTTACTGAGGAGGATGTTGACTAGGCTGTGCGGTTTTAATGCAAGTTCACTTTTCTGTCCTTCTTGGTTTTGTGCAGTTGTTGGACTTGAAGGAAATTAGTGAACCTGACGGCTTTTAATGACAATTTAGTCATTTCGTAATCATTATTAGAAATGAAAGAGATGTAGGCGGCAGATGGAGAAATCACTGACACTAACTTTTCCTGATTTGTTGAATGAATGAAATTGAAATTTCTCAGTTACTCAGGTTGGATGGATCTTTACAAGTTTTCAGAGCAGTATGTCTGCCTATCGGAGTTACTAGTCCACTTTGCTGTTGTCTCCAGTATCCGAGATCAAGTTTTCTGATGACCTCATGTTCCCAATTAAAGCAAATCCAAGGCTTCAGAGTCGGATCTGACTGAGCTCAGGGTGCTAGGGGTGGTGATGGCCATTAAAGGTTGTAATGTTGTTTCACTGAGCACTGTGGACAGCTGTGTCACCGCACAATGCAGCTGGAAGTTCGCTGCATCTGTGTAAATTTCACTGCAAAGTATAGTTTAGGCCTTTAACCTGAGGTGGAAGTGATTGTAACCCGTGTTAGAGGGAAGACCACCTTTTTTTGAATGTTTCAGCCTGAGGGACAATAGATGTTCTATAATTCATTCCCCAGCAACTGTGGTTTCTGACATGATATGTAAAAGGCTATGTGTTTGTGTGTATGTCTGTGAGCGAGAGAGAGGTCCACACTGTGTGTGTCTGTATGTGAGAGATAGAGAGTTTGTGTATGTAGTATGATTGAATCTATCCTTCTCACAGTGAACATTGTGTTTACTTTCTAGAATCTCATGAGGATTGCAGCTCTGAACTTGTCCCAAAACACAACCATTGACAATGGACAGTGAGTATCCTTTTCTGTAAGCATGTACGGGCAGGTGTGTTCACCACTTGTTAAGGTGAAGCATCTTAACTGTGTGAGCTGTGTTCTGAGTTGCCTTCGAGCTTGTTAAAACAGATGTGTGGTCCGGAAGCAGCCTTTTCGTGATGCATGACTGACATGAGGATGGCTGGGTGCATTGCCCTCACTGTGTGAGCATTACAATAATAAAGCCAGCAGGTGGCGCACTGGGGCTGCATTTGTACTGCCTTTGCAACAACCATCATCTAAATGGAAGGCAGAAGAGGTTCAAAGGACTGAACGCCTCCTCCTGTTCTGATATTCTGACTCACTAAGGCCAGAAGAATGGTGAGCTGGTTCAGAGTAGGCAGCAGCATTGTTACTGTTAAATCCTCACTGCTGGTGATAGGGCCAAGAGGTGGTCTTTATAACTTGTGACAACAGAGCCAGTTGGTTCAATCCCCAATCTCGATGTCCTGTAGAGACTCACACAAGGAGAACAACTGCTGAAACATTCAGCTCCTCAATCCTGCTCCACTACTCAATAAGATCCAGTTCAATTTGGTTCTAAACTCAACCCCACCTTCCTGTCCGCCTATCTGTAATCTGAAACTCCCCGGTCAGTCAAAAACTTGTCTAACTTGCTGTTCAATATAGTCAGTGACCAATTCACTGGCAAGAGAATTCCACAGATTTAACAACCCTCTTGAGAGAGGGAAAATCCCTCATCTCTGTCTTAAATGGAAGATCCCTTTTTTAAACTGTGTCACCTGGTTCTAGTCTCTTCTGCAAGGGGAAACATCTGCCCAGCATTCACTCTGTCAAGCCCTCTCAGGGTCTTAAATGTTGCAATAAGATCGCTTCTTACTCTTCAAAATTCCAATGCATATCAGCCCAACATTCTCAACCTCTCCTCGTAAGACAGCCTCTTCATCCTAGAATCGGCTGAGTGAACCTTTTTCCTGAATTGTTGCTGATACAATTATATCACATGGTTAGTAAAGAGACCAAAACTGTAAACCATCTCCAGCTACTGTCTCACCAATACCCTGTGGAGCAACACTTACCTATTTTTATATTCCATTCCTTTTGTGATAAGCAGCAATATTTCAATTGCCTTCTTAATAACTTACTGTACCTGTGTACTAATTTCTTGTAATTCATGCCTGAAGGCACCAGCTCCCTCTGTACCATTGAGTTCTCTAATCCCTCTCTCCGTTGAAATAATTTACTCCTTTTCTATTCTTCCTGCCAAAGTGGACAAGTTCACATTTCTTACCTTTTTACTCCATCTGCCACATTTTTGCCCTCTCGCTTAATCTGTTATCTATATCCCTTTGCAGACTCCCTATAGCCTCTTGAAAACTTAAATCTGCTACCAATTTTTTGTGACATCACCAAATTTAACAACCTCATACTTGGTCCCTTCATCGAAGTGATTCCTGTGGATTATAAATAGGTGAGACCCAGTACTGATCCTTGTAGCGTTCAGTTACAGCTAGCCTATCTAAAAGTGAAATGTTTATCCCTACTTTCTGCTCCCTGTCAGCTGACCAATCCTCTATTCTTGCTAACAAGTTACACTTCCTACAGCATGAACTCTTAATTTGTGAAGTAACCTTTAACATGGCACCTTATTGTTGGATCTGTTAAATTTATCTCAGATTTAAAATTTTGTTAAGTAAAGTATTAAGGAATATGGGGCAAAGACGGATATATGGCATTAGGCCACAGATTTAGGGCAGCATGGTGGCTCAGTAGTTAGCACTGCTGCCTCACAGCGCCAGGGACCCAGGTTCAATTCCACCCTCGGGCAACTGTCTGTATGGAGTTTGCACATGCTCCCCATGTCTGCGTGGGTTTCCTCCGGGTGCTCTGGTTTTCTCCCACAGTCCAAAGATGTGCAGGCCATGCTAAATTGCCCCCAGAGTGTTCAGGGATGTGTAGATTAGGTGGGTTTATAGGGGGATGGATGTGGGTGAGATGCTCTGTGGGTCGGTGTGGACTTGTTGGGCCGAAGGGCCTGTCCCCACACTGTAGGGATTCTATGATCTGTGATCAGCCATGATCTCATTGAATGGTGGAACAGGTTTGAGGGGCTGAATGGCCTAATCCTATTCCTATGTTCCTCAGACACGGATAAGGTAGGGGCTTCTGTGAAACCAGGAATCTGGTTAAGTGGTTAATTGCAAAGTGAAAGTGTACATGATGTGGGTCCAAGAGTATGGAAAATCCCAATCACCCAACACTACGTAGCCTTGCCGATGTGTTAGTAACTTGTTCAGAGAAAATCGGAGATAGTGCTCAATTCAGTGTTCGTCATCTCCTGGTGCTTACTTCCAGTCTGCTTCTGTTGCACTGGCTTTCCACCCAGTAACACCAGGCTTTGTGGATTTAATCGGGGCAAAACAAATCAGTCCGGGGCAGTGAAACAGTTCCCATTTGAGACACCCAAAGTGACGTGAACTGTAACAGTGTAGGAAACAGGAACAGGGTGCAGGCTACTTGGCCCCTAAAGCCTGCTTTGCCATTTAATAAGATTATGGCTGATCTGACTGTAATCCCTCCTTGCTGTCTGCAGCAGCCCCCCCACCATAACCCATAAATCCTTTAGCATTTAAACTCTATCTAACCAAACAAATCTGTTAAAAGTAGAGTAAAGCTGCCTGCACACAGTGTCCTGTCACACCTTCTCAGGCAGGTGCGTGATCCTGGGAGGCTTCACGCCTCGGAGAACGGTCCCCCTCAGACTCTTGGAACTCAGGGTCTGTGAGGAATCCTGGTGTTTTGTAGATTCTGAATGGAGAACTACTGCCACCAGCTGGACATACGAGCAATGTACAGAGGCTGGAGTGTCGTGTTCGTATATTCCTACTGGGGGCAGAGTGGAGAGACAAGTAGTTAGAATAAAATCAATTAATTAACTGTCGTTATCTTTTACTCTTTAGGAAGAGCAATGACACAGCCCTGCAAAGGTTTGATAAGAGTTTAGAAGAGTTTTATGCTCTTTGTGACCAGGTAGAGCTGTGCCTGGTGAGTATGACTGGATTTAAGTGTGGTTTTGTCCAGACAGCCTTGTATTCACCTGGTAGTCTACCTAATCTGTTCTCTTGTTTGGGTCTCAATTTTACCTCAACTCAATGTACCTTTCGTACCTTAAGCTGTTTTCCTGCCTGAGTGCGCTATGTCAGCCCAGCTACTGGTTATCCCAGCTGTGAATTCTAGTTACAAACAGCATTACCTTTGCAGAGTGAGTGCTGTACACTCGGGTATCATGTCAGTCTGACACAGGGAGATGTGGGATGTGGGTGGCTGAGCCAATGTTTATTGCCTATTTGTAGTTGTCCTTCAGAAGGTAGTGGTGAGCTACCTTCTTGAAGTGCTGCAGTCCATTTGGTGAGGGGACACCCTCAATGCTGTTGGAGAGGGAATTCCAGGATTTTGACCCAGCATTGGTGAATTGATGATGATTTATTGTCATTCCAAGTCGAGATGGTAATTTAGATCCGAAATTGGTTCCATGGCAGTAAGCAGAGAGTACTGTTTGACTAACATTTTAGTTACTGAAAGGCCCTTCCTGTTTGTAGTATTTATCAGTGACTTAGACTTAAATGTATGTGCCATGATTAAACCGTTTGGAGATTGTATGAAAATTAGTTGTCTGTTGAGAATTGGGAAGAAATTTGTAGACTGCAGGAAGCTTTTGATGGACTGATCAAGTGGGCATGAAGTGTTAAAGGGCATTTATTGAAGAGAGGACGTTGGTGAGGCCTCTTCTGGAGTACTGTGTCCAGTTCTGGTCTCCCTGTTATAGGAAGGATATTATTAGCTGGAGAGGGTTCAGAAGAAATTTACCAGGATGTTGCCAGGAATGGAGGGTTTGAGTTATAAGAAGACCCTGGATAGGCTGGGACTTTTTTCACTGGAGCGTAGGAGGTTGAGGGGTGACTTTATAGAGGTTTATAAAATCATAAGTGGAATAGATAAAGTAAATGGCAGGTGCAGTTTCTCCCTAGGGTGGGGGTTTTCAAGACTAGGGGGCATATTTTTAAGGTGAGAGGCGAGCGATTTAAAAATGACATGAGGGGTAACTTTTTTTATACAGGGAGTGGTTCATGTGTGGAATGAACTGCCGGAGGAAGTGGTGGATGTGGGTACACGTACAGCATTTAAAACACATTTAGATAAGAACATGAATAAAAATATGTGGAGGGATATAGGCCAAGCGCAGGCAGGTGGGACTAGTTTAGTTTGGGAGTATGTTTGGTGCTGGCTGGTTGGACCAAATGGTCTGTTTCCGTGCTGTATGACTCTGTGAAGGGAAGTGTGAGAATTCCCAGCAATTTGGAGTAGTGCTATGGGACATTGAACTTCCAGCTGAACTGGAAGGAACACAGTGTCCTCAAAATGAGGAAACCTGCTCCCTCCACCAGTGCCACATACCCTCAGGCTGTGGATGAGTGTAGTGCTGTGGATGTTGTACGTTTGGACTTTCAGAAAGCATTTGATACGGTACCACATGGCAGGTTGGTTAGCAAATTAGGAATGTTTGGGGTTGATGGGTCCTTGGCAGCATGGATTAGAAGTTGGATAAAAGGTAGGAGCAGAGGGTAGGTATAGATGGGCATTTCTCAGTTTGGAGATGAATTGAAAGTGGCGTTCCCCAGGGATCGGTGTCGGGACCCTTTTTCTGATTTATGTGAATGATTTGGAGATGGGTGTTGAGGGCGAAATCTCTAACTTTGCAGATGATTCTAAGTTAGAGAGAATGTGAATTGTGAGAATAATTCTAAGCAACTTCAGAGGGACATTGCCAAGTGGGCAGCACCTGGCAGATGAATTTCAATGCAGAGAAATGTGAGGTAATGCATTTTGATAGAAGAAACAGTGAGAGACAGTACAGGCACAATGGTGCAATTTATGAGGAGAGTGCAGGAACAGAGGGACCATGAGGTTCATGTACATGATTCTCTGAAGGTGACCAGGCAAGATGTAACACTTGCAAAAACAGTAGTTGCTGGAAAAGCTCAGCAGGTCTGGCAGCATTTGTGAAGAAGAATCAGAGTTAATGTTTCGGGTCTGGTGACCTTTTCTTCACAGATGCTGCCAGACCTGTTGAGCTTTTCCAGCAACTACTGTTTTTGTTTTTGCTGTTCTTTTGGTTTTTAGAATGAAACATTTGTTAAGGAATATAGGATCCTTGGGTTTATAAGTAGAGGCGTTAAGTATAAAAGCAAGGAAGTGATGTTACACCTCTACAAATCATTGGTCAGACCACGTTTGGAGTATTGTGTTCAGTTCTGGGCACCTTATTTAAGGAAGGATGTTAAAGCCCTGGAGAGAGGGTAAAGGAGATTTACTAGAATGATACCAGGAATGAGGGACTTCAGATACAATTTAGAGAAATTGGGCTTATTATCCCTGGAGCAGAGAAGGTTAAGAGGTGATCTTATTGAGGTGATCAAAATTATGAACAATTCTGACAGAGTAAAGAAAAATATTCTGTTTCCACTGATTGGTATGCCAGTAACTCAGGGTCACAATTTCAAGACTAGAGAGAGCCAGGAGTGAAATGGAGAGAACCTTCTTTACCCAGAGTTGTTAAGATTTGGACTGTGCTGCCTGGGAGAGTGGTGGAGGCGGATTCCAGAGGTGGTTTCAAAAGAGACTGGATATATATTTGAAAGGGATGAAGTTAGAAGACTACAGAGGTAGGGCTGGAGAACGGGGCTAGCTGGGTACAGACATAGTGGGTCATATAGCCTCTTTCTGTGCTGTAAATAATAACAATGCGGAGGTGCCCATGTTGGACTGGGGTAGACAAAGTCACAAGTCACACGATGCCAGGTTATAGTCCAACAGGTTTATTTGAAATCACAAGCTTTCAAAGCGCTGCTCCTTCATCAGGTCATGTCAGGACTCTGAAAGCTTGTGATTTCAAATAAACCTGTTAGGACTATAACCTGGTGTCGTGTGACTTCTGACTTTGTAAATAAAAAGATTCTGAGTTAGTAATGACCCCTGACAACGTGGCACTCTTTCAGCACTGACACCCCTCAGCAGTGTGGCGTTCTCTTAGTACTGAATCTCTGACAGTGCTCTGTTCCCTGAGTTGTGACCCTCGGGCAGTGCAGCACTCCTGCAGTACTGACCGTCTGGCTGTGCTTCCTCAGAGCTGACTGTCTGTGAATGGTCATTCCCGTGTTTTGTACTGAAGTTGCTGGAGTGTGATGTGTAACCTGGACCCTCTGGTTCAGAGAGTGTGAGGGGTTTGCACTGAGCTAAAGCTCATCTAGTCAGTACGGTCTAGGGTCAGCCAGATGTCCCACTACCCTTTTTCAAGTGATTTGTATTGTCCTGTGCAGCCAGGGGTTGGACACGGCTGCATTGCCCTCCACGTGGATTAGCTCAAGAAATGGGTGTCAGACCTTGATCTCTCTCACTTTTACTGGTGACTGTTCCCCTTCTTTTGCAGAGACTGGCATTCGAGTGCCTTTCCCAGAGCATCGACAGTTCCAAACATTCGCCTAACTTGGTTCCCACAGCGACCAAGCCGGACACTGTGCAGACAGAGAGCCAGTCGTACACTCAGTACCTCAGCATGATCAAGTCGCAAATCTCCTGTGCCAAGGACATTCACAATGCCCTGCTGGAGTGCTCTAAGCGGATAGCCAGCAAGGGCCAAATCTGAACAGCTCTGGGGTGCCTGCATTCCCATTTGGCATTTATCCTTGAATGTGCGATTCCAGGATCAGGACTCAAACTGCCTCAAGGTCTCGTGTCTCCTGGTGCTTTCAGACAAGGTCGTTATGGGGGCGGGGAGGGAGGGCGGGCGTAACCTCTGACAGGTTCAGGGTGCATTCTGTCTCAGTTCCTCAATCCTGTTTGTTTTGTGTGACCGAGAGACTCTATTCCTGTTTGTTGAAGTGTGGTTGGGGTGGGAGAGGGGTGGGTAAGGTGTACGTGAGGAGCTAGGAGATTGCTTGCAGTAAGCAGCAGTTCCGTCACCTGCATTCCATCTAATCTATGAATGTGCACATTTGTCCTCTTAACTACTTTCAGCAGCACGTTCTGAAACAGAAAAATACAACTCCTGAAGAATTATCACAAAGACTTGCACTTGGCTGGGCTGAGGGAGCAGGGCACCTGAGAGAGGATGGCAGCTGACACTGAAATTCAGTTCAACTGAAATTTAATCCTTCCCTGAAAGAAGGGCTGGCAGCTCAGACTATTCAGTCCTTCTACTCTGTTCCATCATTCAATTTGAAACTAATTGGTACCTTAACTCCTTTGATCTATAACCATCCTTAACCCTCCTTTATCTTGACAAAAATCTTCGGAACTCAACCTTGAGTGTTTGAGTTGATTCCCAACATCCACAATTCTTCAGGGAATTGAGTTCCTGATTTCCACATGTCCTAAAAAGTTTGCTAACTTTGCCCCAGAGGGGCATCCCTCTAATTTTTAAGCTTTAAGCCCCTTTGTTGTGATGTCCCCTCACCGGAGGAATTAATTGATCCTACAAAATGATTTTATAATTTCGAATCCCTTGCTTAAACTACCCGCTCTGTTTTTTAAAACTGAAGTGAATGTGGGTGTAGTTTATGCAGTATATCCTCATGGTTTATCCCTTTCAGGTCCAGCATCATTCTGGTGCTGCTGACTCTTGCTGGATCGCACTATCGGGATGCCTTGCCTGGAGTGGGGGGCGCTGATCCATGTGGCTCAGCTGGTCACTGGACCAGCACACACACCCATTCGCAGTCACCTCATATTTCCCTACCTCCCCTTAGTATAGCCATTGACATGTGACGATCTTCCCCAGCTGTGAAATTATTGCAGCATAGGTGAGGAATTCAGCAGCTGGTGCTATGGCCACTTTGGAGTTAACCCCTAATCTGTTATTGAGGTGCACTCAGACCTGGCTGATTCCCTCCCAGGACCCGCAAGAGGGATCAACTCCCCTCTGGAATAAAAGCCAGTTGAAGTTTGTCACAGTGCAGTTAGCAAGGATAGATACCGGGCTTATTTCTTGAGCTCTTTAAATAAAATGTACAATTAATGTGAGCATTTCTATAGAGTGGCATGTTTACATCTCACACCTTGATGGTATTTGTGCAGTTTACTCATGACAAACATTTCATACAATAAAGGATCATTTGAAAGATGTATATAGCTAATGATAATGGCTGCTGAAGAGTGGTTTAAATGGTTCAGTTGAATGTCTGTCTCTCTCGTCTTTTCTCTTTCTCCAAGTTGCTTCTCTTTTGAAACCACTCAGTTTCTCTTTCTGACCCCAGTATGAGCTGACATAGTAAATGATTACATCACCAAGTGTACCTTTAATCTGTCACCGTTGTTCTCTTCCTCTAAGCCTTTGAGCCTGAATCCTTTACAAACCATTCATAGAATCCATACAGTGCGGAAGCAGGCCATTTGGCCCATTGAGTCCACACCGACCCTCCAAAAAGTATCCCACCCAAACCCACCACCGCGGCCTCCCACCCCACTCTATCCCCATAACCGTGCATTTCCCATGGCCAGCCCACTTAGCCTGCACATCCCTGAACACTATGGGCAATTTAGCATGGCCAATCCACCTAACCTGCACACCTTTGGACTGTGGGAGGAAACCAGAGCACCTGGAGCAAACGCATGCAGACATGGGGAGAATGTGCAAATGCCACACAGACAGTTGCCTGAGGGTGGAATTCAACCCGGGTTCCTGGTGCTGCGAGGCAGATGTGCTAACCACTGAGCCACCGTGCTGCCCCATGTTGCATCTCCAATCTCCTTTTCCTGTTTGAAATGCTTTAATCTGTTGTCACCTTTCTAATCCATGCCCATCTTAGCACAACTCCATGGTTAAATCTTGATGATCTGACGAAGGAACATTACTGCATGCTTTTCCTAACTTGACACAATATTATCGTTCTTTCAGTGTGACTGGGTCAAAATCCTGGGACTCTTTGACAGCACTGTGCGTGTAGACTAAGCCCGACCAAGTGTAGTTGTGCTTGTTGCTGTTGTTGTGGAATATCGTCTGGGAACTGAAGCCGTTCTGTAGATGCACGGAAATGACATATCCTCTATCATTAATCATCAGATAGGCCGGAAACAAAGCTAAGACACAACATGTGATAGCAGCAAACTACCCGAATAACCCTGACCCGGTATCAGATTACTGGGAAAGGTAGCATCTGGGACAATGCCAGCATGTGTGTGTACACACTATGTTGCCATTGTGCATCAGAAGTGGAAAGACTGGGTTTTTAAAGTGGTGGATGGCACCAGCAGCTTTGTCCTGGATGGCATAGATCTTTGTTGCTGGAGCTGCCTTTAGCCGGGCTAGTGGAAAGTATTGCTTCACGCTTCTTAATTTGTATGTAGTGGACAGGGTCTGGGGAGTCAAAAGGAGACTTATCCAGCACAGAATGCGCTGCCTCTGTCCTGTGTTCAGAGTTACAGTACTATGTGGCTGTTGTAGCTATGCTTGTGGTTGATGGGAACTCCGGGATGTTAATAATGGGCTTTTTTGATGATAGTTGTATTTTGTCTGTTGGAGATATTCATGGCCCACAAGCAACGACTGTTACTTCAGATTATCAGCCCAAACTTGAATGTTGTCCAAGTCGTATTGTAGCCGTGTGAATGGTGTTGAACATTGTGCAATCAGTAAAGAAGCTCCCCACTTCTGACCTTACAGCTGGGTAAGGTCATTGATGAAGCAGCTGTAGATGGTTGGGCCAAGGACACAACCTTGAGTAACTCCTGCAGAAATGTCCTGTGGGTTGGCCTCCAACAAGGACAACTATCTTCGGAGCTAGAGCTCCAAGCAGTGGAGAACTTAACTCCAAATCATAGAATCCCCACAGTGCAGAAAGATGCCATTCGGCCTATCAAGTCTGCACCAACTCGCTGAAGAGAATCCCCTATTAACTTCAATTTTGCTAGAGTTCTTCAATGCCAGACTTGGTCTAATGTTATGGTGATGTCATGGACGGCCACTTGCACCTCGCTTCTGGAGTTCAGCTCTATTGTCTAACTTCAGACCAAGATTGTAATGAGACTGTGAGCTGAGTGACCAAGTGATGCAATACTGAAGCATCAGTGAGCAGGTTACTAGAGAGTAAACACCACTTGAAAGCACAGGTGACACCTCTTCCATCATCTTGCTGTGTCGGGCTGTAATTGGCCAGTTGGATTTGTCCTGTTTTTTGTGTTCCGGACACACCTAGGCAATATTTCACATTGCTGGCTAGATGCCACTGTTGCAGCTGGACTGGAACGGCTTGGCTAGGGGTGTGGCAAGTTCTGGAGCAGAAACCTTTTGTAGTATTGCCAGAATGTTGTCAGGGCCCATAGCCTTTGCAGTATCCAGTGTTTCCAACCATTTCCTGATAGCTGTGGAGTGAATTGAACAGGCTGAAGACTGGCATCTGTAATGCTGGGGGCCTCAGAAAAAAAGGTCATCCACTTGACATGTTGTTCTGAAGATAGTACTTCAGCCTTGTTGCGCTGATTATCTGGGCTTCCCCATCATTGAGGACAGGGATACATTTGGAGCTGCCTGCGCTGACAAGATCTTTAATCATCCGGCAGCATTCACAACTGGAAGTGACAGAGCTTTGATTTGATTCGTAGGTTGTGGAATCCCTCGCCTTTGTCATATGGTGTTTTCACTGTTTAGCATACCTGATGCACGTAGTCCTGTGTTATACCTTCAGCTCCTTTCTACAATGCTGCTGCTTGGATTGTTTGTTGTATTTCAGGAGCATTATGTCTGAGTGTAGCCAGGCATTTGTAGGCCTGTTGTAATGGAACAGCTGAGAGCAGGACTGAATTAATTGACCCCACTGTGTACGCTGCCGGCTTTGAAACATTGCACAATTCACTGACTCAGATTACC